CAGAAGCCCTGCTCAAGGAGCAGGAGCTTTTTCTGTAGAAGGTCAGAAGCCATTATTTTAGACTCTGTGGACCACACTATCTGCTGCATCTATGCAAAGCTGCCCTTGTAAATGATTGAGTGTGGCCATCTGCCAGTAAAACCTAAGGACATTAAAATTTGAATTTTATACAATTTTGTTTGTTCATTTGTGTTCCTGTTTTGTTTTTATGGTGCGAGGGACTGGATCCAGGGCTGTTAGTCTCCTAGGCAAGCTCTCTGCCACTGAGATACACCCCCAGCCTTTTAAGTAATTCTTTAAGTGTCACCAAATACTATTTCATTTTGTTGTTTTTTCTTCCCCATCCAGTTTAAAAAATGCAAAAACCATTCTTAGCTCATGAGCCATACAAAAGCAGGCAGGATTTGGCCAAGAGACACGGTCCACCAACCAGCCCTTGAGCATTCAGTGCCTCTTTAAATCTAGCAGACACCTCTTTAGGAGGGACTTCCATCCTCCTCTCTGACGGGGGTGAGGCCTTCTAGGTTCCTTGCCCCTTTGAGCCATAGCAGAATCAGGTACCAGGCATCAGCTGGGCCCCAAAGTTTGGAGGGACAGAAGGCTGTATCCTACCTGGGGTCTCAGAGCACAGATCACTGGTCAAAGCCACAAATCAGCACCTTAGGTGGGGCTTTAGAAATCCCCTGGTCTGTGCTTTTGTTTTTCAGGCCAAGAAGGTGAGATTTAAAAAGGGCAGTGATGTGCCCAAGGCTACTCAGAGGGACACAGCAGAGTTGAGACCAGAGCTGTGGGCTTGTGCCTTGGAGTTCACATGTTCTACTGACTCCCCATGGCTACTGAGCCCCATGACCAAGGAAGACATCAGCCCACTCGGGTCTGCCATCAGCACAGAACGCGGACCGGAGCCCAGCCATGACCAAGCACATTGCCAGCAGGGCTCCGTATCAGGATCAGGGAGGGGCTCTGGGACCCTTTCCTAGCCTCATTGGGTCTACAGACCCTGTGCTGCTTTGGTTATGAGGGGCACCTACTACACACTTGCTTCCAGGCAGTGGAACCCACCAGGACATGGAGTGGTGGGGGCAGCCGTGTCCCCCTGGGCTTGATCACGCCTTAAGGGTCTCCTTTGCTGGGTGATGGGGCGGGAGAAGAAGGCTTGGTTCCTGAGGGGACTTCCCAGGCAGAAAGGGGCAGTCTCCTTTAGGGAAGAAGCCTGCAGGCAAAAATCATTATAGAGCTTTGACAAAATTTCCTGTGACAATGGTAAAGATGGAGAAGGTGCTCAAAGGAAGAAGCATTTTAAGAAGAAAATTCCCTTCCTGTTTGAGGCCTGAGCCCTGGTATCTACAAGGCTATAGATTTTAGAGAAAATATGAAGTAGAAGCCAGAGGTACCAACAATTGCCAAGGGGAATGTACCAACTCCATGTGTCCCCGCCTCTCAGTAACGACACCAGGTGAGGCAAAAAGCTAAGAGTACAGAGGACGTGATCTCAGCAGAGTCCCTCTCCTTCTAAAATGGAGAGAAATGAAACTTCGGTGAGCAAATGACTGAACCTAAGGCAAGCAGTGATTGAGCGCCAGAGGCAGGATTAAGCTCACCCAAAGTCCCTACGCTGCCCTCACCACACTGGACAGACACAAACATGCAGCATATAAATAAGGGATGAACACATCAGGCAGCCACAGCACGCTCAGCTGGGTCAGGGGGACGCCGGTTGGGGCCATTATACAGTTCCAGGGAAGAGTTCTTACCACTGTCCCTTCTACAGTTTTAGCCAGTGTTACTCAGAGCAGACTGTCCTCTGTCACCAGGGCCACACATGCTGCTAGGGAGCTCCAAGACCCTTTTCAGGTCAAAGCCAAACCTCACTCACCTCCTTATTCCCCCTCTCCACAGATACAGCCATGGGGACTTCAGGAGCAGACCGACTCCTCTGCAGGCAGAGGGTGTGGCTGCCACAGCATTCCCTCATCCCCACTGGCTGCTGCACCATAGGCCTGCTCCTGCCAGGCCCGGTCACTAGCCGTGTGGTGACCCTGGCCCATGACCACTGCAGAGCTGGGTTCTGTGTGTGTGTGTGTGTGTGTGTGTGTGTATACCTGTAGAAGCTAGGACAAAACTGACCTTCGCATGTTCCTACCCCTGAGATGGGAGAGTGCCCACTTAGCAGCAAATGCTTAGAGGGCAAAGGTGAAGGGTTCAAGGTAGGAGAGAGAAGGGTTCATCTAGGACAGGGCCAAGGACAAGAACTGTGACTTACTCACAAGGCGGAAGCTGATCAGGTGGGTCTGGATCCAAGCCAGCCCCTCCCTCACAGACAACAGAGCAGGACAGGGGCTGCTAATAACTAAGCAGCAGGAGAGGGTCCTGTGGCCCAGGAAGAGGAGGTCCTGCCAAAGGCACTGGAGGCAGGAGGCTGGCAGCTTCCACATTCACTCTGGAAGCCAGTAGGTGGGGCTCCTGGCACAGATTCCCAGGCCCCTCAGCAGGTTCCCATCCAGCCTCATTCTGCTATCTGAAGCCCTCCTCCCCAACCTGGAAGAGCAGGAAAGATTCTGTCTAAGGCAGGGCCCACTGGGTTTAGGAAAGCCTGCCTTGGTCGCTACCTGAGCCAGTCCCAGTGCCCTCTCTGGGACAGTCCCTTCCCAGGTGAATGTCCATCACTGTGTGGGTACTATGCATGACCTCACTTAATTCCTAGTACACCCCTTCCTATTAGGAGTCCCCCTCACACATGAGGAAACTGAGGCCTGCGAAGTTCAGGAGTTTGCTGGGGAGAGGAAGAGTCACAAGGCCAGCTTAGCTGGATTCCAGCAAGCCCCCCATGTGCCCTGTCTTTCAGGTTGCAAGCTGAGTTACAGAACAAAAGAAGGAATCAGCAGAGGGGTTGACAGATATTTTGGACAGAGGTCCATAACAGGGTTACCCCACAAGGAGAGGCTGGGCTGGGCAGGCTCTGGCCACAGGCTTTGCGGTAGTGTGGGGCCTGTTGCCTTGGGCACAGGAAGGCCCGAGGAGACAGAGGACAGATGGTCTACAGAGGAAACAAATCCAGCCCCAAAGGCAGCCCTGTCTCCTCCAGACCATGTGTCCTCACGAGACAGGAGGGCTTCCTGATATTCCAACCCTGGAGCCCACTGGCACATCAGATCTGGTCCCTCTCCCCTGCCACTCACGATGAAGCCTGGCTCTGCCTGGCACAAGACAAAAGGGAGCCTCATTCTCAGGACACCACCCCCTTCTCCCTTCCGCTAAGGACTGAGGGCCCCAGAGTGGGCTGGGACCTGCCCATGCCGGGGCAAGGCTTGGGGACAGGGGTTTGGGGACAGGCAGAAGTGGGCTGGATCCCACCTCAACCCTGCCTTGGGGAAGCTGGTCTGTTTCCTGGGTTGTCAAACGGGAATAATAATACCTGCTTCATCAAGTTGTTGTGACACATCCAACAAATGGCAGCCACTAAGGCATTCAGAAATGTGACTTACTAAAGTCTACTCTGGCTCTGCAAAACCGTATGTGTGGAAGCAGATCCTCCTGGCATGAGTGGTAGACTTCTTCCATCCTCCTGGCAGGTATGGGCAGCTGGTGCAGACAGTCCTAAGAACCCCATGGCCAGGGCCTGGCCATGCCAGGTTGCAGGGCAAGGCTGAGGTCAGCCCTCTAGGTCACAAGCTGCCTGGAAAGAGCCGGCACAGGAGCTCTGCTGTGGCAAAAGTGACCCTCTCCCTAGGACCCCCTTGGGATGTAAACCTCAGCCTTGTCTCTCCTGACCCTAGGTGGCATTTTCCCAGGCCCTGCCCACAGCAGGCTAATGAGGGGGGATCTCTGGGGATCTGCTAATCAGCTGGATGGCCAGGCCGCCTCGAGGATTCTACTCCTTCGGGCCACATCCAGGAATGTCCTTCATGCCTGAGCCCAGGGGGAAGGCACAGGAACATGCAGAGTCTCAGAGGGTGCAGACAGTAGGGGCCAGCCAGTGGCCTTGTGAGTCACAGGGCTCAGGTCACACACCACAGCTGGAGAAGGCTTGGAGGGCTGGGCTGGGGGTACAACGGGGAGACAGCAGCAGCCGAGGCCCAGGAGTTCTGGGGACCTGACCCTTTTCCGCAGCCTCAACTCTCATGGCCACTGCCAGAAAGGGCTCAGATAGAATGAAAAGAGACCTCGGGAGTCCAGCGCCGTGCTGACCTCAGTATAGAAAACCAGCCACTGTTTGCCCTTACAACTCCCACCACAGGCCCGGGGATGCTCCGGGGAACCTGGACCCCCAACAGGGGAAAACAGAGGCCTCCCGCGTTTACCCCATTCTGCTTCCAAATTCCCCCAAGTACAGCGAGTCCTCGGAGCCTTCTGTCCCCATCCCCACGGCTGCTTTAACTCCTTGCGTTCTGATGCCGGGTGATGAGCGCGGTCTCTGGCCCCCTGGATTTCCCAGGGGCGGAGAGAAGGGACGCATTCCCCAGCGGCCCCTGTTTTGACACCACCCCGGCACCCCGCGGCTGGGACCTGCAGGGGTCCACGTGTCCTTCCACATTCTCCCCGGGGCCCAGTCCTGCCCCGACCACCCCCGCTCCCCGCCTGCCAAGCTGGAAAGTTCACCAGAGCCCAGAAAGCCCTTCAAGGAGGCGACTGATCGGGCCCCACACGCTTAGGTCCTCTCGTCACCCGGGACTTCTGACCCTTGTCCTTCCCTGAAGCAAGGGCGCTTAGGAAGCACCTGGTTCGCAGCTGAGCGGAAAACTTTGTTTCGTAGGGTTCGGACGGGAGCCCAGAGGCCAAAAGGAATCCCAGATGGACAATCCCCGTGGGACGCGGGTGTGAGACTACGAAACAGCCCTCCTTCCGGGGCACCTGGAACTTGGGAGTGGCCTTTCCAGGGTACCCCCGCCCCCAACACACACGCCTAGGATCTCCCATCTCCCCTCGCAGCTCCAGCATTGCCCTCCAACCTCTCGCTCCAATGCAAAGCAGCCCGGCGCCTTTAAGGGCCGCCCGCTTACCTTTGCTCCGCGCCCGGGCGCCGCGGTGCCCCTCGCTCCGACCTCCTCCTGGCGCCGCCCGCCGCGTCGCACCCGCGGGACTCACCGCGCGCGTCCTGG